ACTGCGGAAGGATTGTGACTGTTGCGATCTCCAGTGGTGGGTTTTGATTAGCGACTGAAAAACGTTTTGATTAAATAACGGAAAAATAGCAAACAGCGGATACCGAAGGCGCTCTCACAACTGCATCTGATTCTCTGTCTTTGTCATACGGTGCTGCACTTCCTCCGTAAAGAATACTGTAGAAGACACAACGCCTCCACCACACTTATTCTATTCTTGCATCGAGCGACTCCTGTACACCTATGCCAAAACCTGTCTTTCTGGCGACGTTGAAAACTTGTTCCCATCGTCTGAAACGACACGTGTGCTGTCAAGACCAGAACCACTGGTCCTACCCGACACCCGTGACGGCGTGGACTGGAGACCTCTTTGCGTAAAAAAAGCCTCTTCCGTTCACCCTCCTCATCCTCCACCTTCGCTTTTCTCCTCCCGCACCTCTACATCAACCAAGTTCGGAACCCCATTCCTCACCTTGAAGCGAAGAGGTATGTGGTGCACTTGCGCCCTGAATCCTAGTCGCGCATTGAGACCATTTTGAAAACGAGCATCTTCTATTTGCTTCCCTCCCGCGTGCGCGTCTCTTTTCACTCCGCGCTCTTCCCGTCATCCTGCATCACCTCATCCTCCCCATCCTCCCCATCCTCCCTCGCGTCCTCCTTCCGTACTTCAGTGATGACCAAGTTGGGAATCCCATTACTCACAGTATAGCGCACGCCGTCGGCGGACAGCTTCCCGTCGACCACGTGCCACTGCAGCAGCGCTCGATGCACGGCCTTGAGCACGTCCCCGTCATCCGGCGCGTCGTCCCCCGGCGCCACCGCCGGCAGCATGCCCACTAGCTCGGCGTCCGGGATTTGCTTCGCCGCCGCCAGGAACACCTCCCAGTTCACCCGCGGTAGCATCCGTCGGATAAACGCCGCAGAGTACTCCACGTCTACCTCGTCGCACGTCTCGATCTCCAGCTCCAGCGGGTACGCCAGCGTTCGCGGGCATTGCAGCATGTTGTGCGTTAGCAGACGCATGTTGAACCCGTTTTCTTGCGCCGGACAGAAATCAGCCTTCGGTAAACTAATTGAGGTGCAAGCAATGCTTTGTCTCTCGGCGCCGCCGGAAAATTTTTCTTCAACGGGAATAAAAAAATAATTTTTTGCAAATCACTCTCGTCCCCTATTCCTACAATACAGCATTGTAATTAGCTCTTTGAGCTTGTATCCTTCTGGCCAGGGATAACTTTGCATGTCTCCTAACTTTTCTTCTTCTTGAAGGAAGCCCGCGGCTTCATGCAGAAAGGCAAGAGGCTCGTGCAGAGAGGTGGCGTCGCCGAAATAAACAACAACAATGTACTCTGACAGTGTCGAAAGCAACCTTCCTCGTTCCTGATCCAATCTGCAAAATTTCCCAACGCACAATCATCGGTGGTATGATTCACATCCCATCCCCTCAATTTCGCCACTCTCTTCACTCTCATTAACATCGCAGCAGATACCCCTTCTGTGGCGCAGTACTTCCATCTCCGCAATCGTTGGCTCGACGACCTGCGGGGTCTCTCTTCGCGGCGATCACCATGCTGCGCTTCCTGCAGCGGACCCTGCTATACCAGCGCACCTCAGAGGCCATGCATGCATACCGCGTATTGAAGCGGGCGGAGCATCGCTCGGCACTCAAGCTCAAGCGCGCCGCTGTGCGCGCGCGCGTCTTGTCAGAGGTGCAGAAGGCACAGATTGAGAGAGTACGTTCGGCGCACACGGGCGCTTCATTTGGAGACTTGCGCCGCGGGGCCGTTTGCGCCACAGAAATCACTGACTTTTGCGACGTATGGCTTGCCACGATAGACGGTGCTCAGGATGCAAACGGCGAGAGCTAACGCTCGCGTGCAGAGCGCCAATGCAGTAGCAGATTCGTACAAGAAGCGCGGCGAGTTGGTGCGTCAGGCTGTAGCAGCACGTGGCTTGTCCATAGAGTCAGATTCTGCATCTAACTTGCCCGAGGGGGTGGCATTGCGGGAGGGGTCCTCTGCGGAAAGGGCGGGTGAGTTGAAAGAGCGCATCCTCACGAAAGCAGAGTCAATGCTACCCGCGAGGGAAGAATCGGGGCCCGGTCGACGGCTTGCTGCGAATATCCTGCGAGAGTCTGTGCAGGACGTCTCGCTGAACGACGCCGAAGGAGAAAGGGAAATGAGCGCACGGCTCATCGCCGGGGTGGCAAAGCAGGCTGGTGTGGATTGGGAGGAAATGGAACGCCTCATTGAAGTTGCTGAACAAGATGACGAGAGGCGCAGCGCTCTGCGATCGGTGGTGAGGGAAGCAATGGGTGAGAAAGAGCATAGACAATCGGGTTCGTAACTTTTTTTTTTCGCTGCGAGAAAACAGGTTTGTCTCCATACATCACCTCACCCACACAAATGTAGTATACGGTTTCATTGAAAACGATGCCCTTCGTGATTGCGGGGGTGAGCAGAAATTTTCCACCTTTCGCCGCTGGCACTGGAACAACAGGCACATTCTGTGATACATATTTACGGCTTCCGGACATCCGCTACGTGCAAGACGTGCCAGAGGCGCCTTGGGTTGCATGCATGATCATTCTCATTACATTCGAAGCTTGAGAGACAATTGCCGAACTTTGCACAACGACAGAGTGCGTATTTGTTGGCTTTATAAGAATGCACGCAAACGAACGAACAGCTCTGTTTCAGAACATAACGATTATAAAGAGCTACCCGACAACGTTTTTCTGAATCCACAAAGACGTCAACCGCTGTATACACGTCAAAGAATATACTCAAAACTTGATGGTGCTCCTTTCTACCGTATAGCAGACGCGCCTCCCAAGAGCTGGATGAAAACCATGCGATGTGGCCGCTTGAGTACCGAGGCTCGGCTAACGTGAAGTGACCAAAATGTTGACAGGAAAGTCGTCTGCGCTTCTCGGTAGGCAGCATGCGGATGGATCTCCACGTGGTTGGCGGCTCCAGGCACTTACGTTGAAGGCCAGAAGATTCGCTTCTGCAGCGTTCTCATATCACCAATATCAGATGGTAGAACAGCTTGTTACGGTACTGTGTAGTTCTACCTTCAACGTGCAGTACCATATATGAACCCACCAGCACAAGCATACACTCACGAGCATGCAAGAGCTGAATGAACTGCTTCTCGGCATCCTGTCATCTTCAAGTCACTACACCCGCCCTCTTTGCCGCTTGCCGCCCTTCCCCTTCCAATCTTTTCCTTTTTTCCCCTTCCCCTGGTCATTTGTTAACGGAATCCTGGCCCTGAAGCCGGGCATCTTTGCGCCAGCCCCTCTCCCAATCCGCCCACCTCTATCCGGCACGCTCCCCATGACAACATTTTTAACCCCGCTCTCATCCATGCTCGCCACCGCGCGTTCCGGTCTCAGCGCCCACTCCCTCGCAGCCAAAACTTCAAAGTGAGACACCTCCCCCTGCTCCCCCGCCAGCTGCCGCACCCCCTCCATGATTGTGTCAAACTTGGTATTGTCCGCACGTTCACTCTGCGAGAACGCGCCGACAGTTACTTCGAAGCGATGCAGCATGAGCCGCTTCCGCAAATCATGTTCCTTCACCAACTCTCTCCGCAAGCTCTCACAAGCGCCGGCCTCCATCGCGACCTCTTCTTCATCCAACAGTCGGCGCCCAAACAGCGTATCGACGCCAGCAGACTCTGCAACCTGCTTCTCCACTGCTAAACTCAGCGACTGCATCAATGCCGCAAGCTGCTCGGCATCCTCCGGCGCCGCACGATGCGGGTGCGGAATGGCGGCCTGCAGGCGGGAGACAGCGGCGGCGAGGATGACGTCGCGATTATCTGCCGGGAGCTTGGCCTGTACGTCGCGCGAGGCGAGGATGCGGTGTGCGCAAAGGGCAGAGGACAAGAATGAGAGGACAGGAAGGGGGGAAGCTGGGTCCCCCAAGTAGCCCAGGCGTCGTAGAAGGGGCTCGAGGTGGGACTCAAGGTCAGGGGGTGTCGGTGGGAAGGAAGGGTCGAGTTCCTCCGCAATAGTGCAAGCTATCGACGGGTAGAGCGTTGGGGTGGTAGGGGCAGGGTCGGACGGGGTGAGGAGACCAAGGGCTTCAAGGGATTCCTTGAGACGTCTTTCGGACGCCATTGGGGTACACTTGCGAGGTGTTTGCTCGGTTGTGGACGATCGTAACGAGCGTGCTCAGCGAATGGTGCGACTGCCGCGATGCCAAGACGAGGTGAGCTTTATCATGTCACATACGACCGTCCGAGATAGCTCTAACTTCTGTTGCTTCGCTGGTTCCCTCAAGCCATGGCAAGCAAAAGACATGGATCAAAAGGTCAAATTCAATAGCTGTTGCCCGTGTACACGATGCTCTAGAAGCGTAGAAACGTCTAGAAGTCACTTCGTGAGAATGGATCCCAGATCTGAGTAATGTAGTGTAAGCTATTGGCTGTAATGCGTTGAACTTGATCGAAACCTATGGCTCCAGCGTTCCTGCTCCATCACTCTGTACCACCTCCATTGCGCCAATTGCAGCTGAAGCGAACACTCCTGCATTCGCAATCCCTCTACCTCACCAAGAACTAATCCATCGTGAATAAAGCGATCTTGTTTATCTTACTGCCCGCTTCATTCTTGAACGAACCGCCGTATCTGGATCCCAAGATGCCAACACCCGACGATAAGCCGAAGGCCGACCCGCCTTCCGGCCCTGCCCCGCCAGGGAAGAAAGGGAAAGCCGAAGAAGATCCGGATGCCGAACTGTCCGAGGAGGACCGCGCCTTGAAGGAGCGTCTCCAGCTAATGGTTTTACGCACCATGGACCACGATGAAGGCGTCCAGAAGCTCGCTTTAGAGACGATCCGCTCTGAGATCCGCTCCGCGACTTCCTCTATGACCTCTGTCCCGAAGCCGCTCAAGTTCCTACGCCCGCATTTCGGTCCCCTTAGAAAATACTACTCAAACGATCTCAAGGATGGTCCAAACAAGGTTTTCTTGGCCGACATTCTATCCGTGCTGGCGATGACCATGGGCGATGAGGACAACTGCGAGAGTCTCCGATTCAAGCTTCGCGGCTCGAAGGACCCCCCGCATTTGTGGGGGCACGAATATGTGCGTCATCTTGCTGGCGAGATTGCCACCGAGTTCCGTACACTCACGGACATTCTAGATGAAATGCAGGTCGATGGAGAACCGGCCCCGTCGACAGAGACGGATGGTGACGCAGACAAGTTTATCCTTGCGCCCGCGACAATCGACGAAATCCATGCACTTGTCAGTGAAATCGTCCCGTTTCTCATTTCTTCCAATGCCGAACCGGAGGCTGTCGACCTACTGATGGAAGTCGAATCCCTCAACAAGCTTGTCGTCCACACTGATGAACACAACTATTCACGAGTGTGTTTGTACCTCAAGTCTTGCTCGGACTACGTAACTGATCAGGACGAAGCCGGAGAAGTTTTAAAAGTTGCTTCTGAGATCTACGAGAAGGTTGGCAAGCGGCCGGAGGCAATGGAGGTGGCCATTCGGCGCGGCGACCTAGACGTCATCAAAAGAATCTATACCGGTGCCTCGAAGGACTCTGATTACCATGTCAGACTGCAGCTGGCTTTTGATTTAGGGCGTGCTGGTATTTTGTTGGATGAGGACGTCGAGGACGATGACGATCTTCGAACAGCCATGAGTAACATCAAGCTCTCTGAGCAATTTTTGCATCTTGCGAAGGATTTGGATGTCTTGGAACCCAAAGTACCTGAAGACATCTACAAAACGCATCTACTAGACTCACGTTTACCCTCAGTTGCAGCAAACGAGTCAGCCAGAACAAACTTGGCGAGCACTTTCGTTAACGCTTTCGTCAACATGGGCTTTGGCAAGGATAAGCTGATGATGGATTCCAGTATTCGATGGATATACAAAAACAAGGAACACGGTATAATGTCAGCGACCGCATCCTTAGGTATGATTATGCTATGGGATGTCGACGGTGGTCTCGCAGACGTTGATAAGTACATGCATGCGAAACAAGATTACGTGCGTGCCGGCTCGTTGCTATCGATTGGTATTCTCTCTGCAAATGTTCGCCATGAAATGGATCCAGCGTTGGGGCTGTTGTCGGACGACGTGACCTCGGCGATTCCCTCAATTCGTCACGGTGCTATTGCCGGATTGGCTATGGCATATGCTGGCACGAACAAACAGAAGGTCAAGGAGGTTGTTTTACCGGTGCTCATGGATCCGAAGATGCCCGAAGACACTGCTTCAATCGCCGCATTGGCTCTGGGCCTTGTGTATATAGGTTCCGGTGACGAAGATCTGTCAATGGAGCTGTTGCAAGTGCTTTCCGATAGAAAGGAATCCTATGATACGTCGAAGGAACCTCTGCTGCCGATCTTTTTACCGCTGGCACTCGGTTTCTTGTATTTGGGCCGTCAAGAAGCTGCCGAGATCGTCGTCGAATTGATTAAGGCCATGGTGGGTGAAGAATCTCTCATCGGGCGAGTTACTTCAGTTACGCTTCAAGCATGTGCTTACTGCAGCTCCGGGAATGTCGAAAAAGTCCAAAAGTTCCTTGGGATCTGCGGCGAGCACCCTGCCAATGACATCAACAATGATGATGAAGTGGACGCCAATGGTCAAGGGCAAGGTAACGGCAACCCCGATGTCAGCACGGGTGCGAATGGGTCGCGATCTGATGCCAGTAATCAAGCTGGAAGCGAAGCCGAAGCCGCTGGAGACTCTGTTGGTGTTTCGAACGATGACGACGGGTCAGATACATCACGGACAATGAGCAGCGAAGAGACTTTGAGAATTGCCACGGCTGAACAAGCTGTGGCGGTATTAGGATTAGCTATGGTGTCGATGGGCGAAGAGCTCGGGGCAGAAATGCTTATCCGCACATTTGATCACCTTCTGCAATATGGTGATCCGGTCATTCGAAGAGTGGTACCTCTTGCAATCGGTCTATTAAGTGTGAGCAATCCAAAAATAACGTTGATGGATCTACTGTCCAAGTTCACGCATGATTCGGACATGGACGTCGCGCAGTCAGCTATTTTTGCATTAGGACTGATTGGCGCCGGAACTAATAACTCAAGGATTGCTGGAATACTGCGACAGCTTTCCGTATATTACTCGAAGGAACCCTCATCCCTTTTCTTGGTTCGAATCGCTCAAGGGGTGCTTCACGCTGGAAAGGGTCTTGTAACTATGAGCCCATTCTACGGTGACGGAAGGTTCCTCGAAAGCAAGACAGCTCTAGGAGGTATATTAACTGTGCTGTTTTCGTGTCTGGACATGAAAGGTACTGTTTTTGGGAAGAATCACTTCCTTCTCTACTTCTTGGCCTTGGCAACAAAGCCGAGGATGGTTTTCACAGTGGACGAAAAGATGGAATTCAAAGAGACGAATGTACGCGTTGGTCAAGCTGTGGATACCGTGGGTCAAGCGGGACGGCCAAAGTCTATCACAGGGTTCCAAACGCATACAACTCCGGTTTTGCTTGCAGCTGGGGAGAGAGGCGAGATGGCAACAGAGCAATTCCTAACTAGTGCGGCATCTTTGGAGGGTGTTGTAGTTTTGCGGAAAAATCCTGAATGGGTTGACGAATCTGGCCTAGCCGAGGCTGCCGCAGCCATGACTAAACCTGTAGACACACCAATGGACATTGGCTCATCGTCTGGAGCGGGCGCATCAGGGCCAGCAAGTACAGATCCGGCACCGGCCAATGCAAAAGCAAGTTGACTCTGCTAATAAATACGTTTTGATGGCACATTCATGTAAACTAGTCGCCCGGGACAATGGAAGAGATCTAAAGGCCTGCCCATGACACAAAGGCGCGTGCGTCCCGCCTTGCCTGGATTCATCCACGAAGTACTACTTAGGAGTCAAGAATTTCAAAGAGCTGACTCCTGACAATAGTGTCTATGGTAATGCGGAGCTGGGTAACCTGTTCCCGCAATTCGTCGTCTATGGGCGCACATGCCCCTTGCTGCGGTTGCCGCTTTGCATCCTTAAGCAAATATTCTCGGATGGAATCCTACAATTTGGACGAGCACAAGCAATGATTAGATTGTTAACAAGGCGACTTAACCACAGATCATGCGCTACTGTATAGCAGGACGGAGGCACTCACGTATTCGTTTCCAACTGTCTCAATTCTCGACTGGAGTGCCTGGCACTTGCGACATCTCCAGCATGGACGCATGGGGGCATTCGGAGGAACGTTTTCCGATGCGGTCATCCCAACGATGAGAGGCGCGACTTAAGTGACCACGGGGTTTTGTTTCGAGGGCTCGTCCTGGGGACAGGCATACACGAACCAGTACGAAGTTGAGTCTTGCCGTTTCGTGTCCCTTCTTGCCCTTCGACACCAAACCAAGAAAGTAGGCTGGTCATGTATGTTCGTGTCTACGCAGAGGTGCTTTCGTGAAGCTTGCGGAATGGTCGGATGCAAGAAGGTGCCGGATGTGGTTTTGATGACCAATCGGTGGGCCGGATTAATGGACCAGGTTACGCTTTTAGCCAATGGACGTCCGGAATTCATGATGCTTCAGATTTTGCACCTGCGATATCGGGTGTATATTGCTGGAGACCCAGTGTACGTACAGAAGTATGGAGTATGGTACAGACGAACCCTGATGCCAAGGATTCTCAAGATTTTCTTGGGTATGGACGAAGCGTAGTGGAGCACATTCATCACATGTCTTACCATGCATCATTCTGCTGGACGAGGGCCTGCCTCCATTGCTCTGTCGCTCTCAATACCGCTCCGATCCCAACGAGCAGTTGCTGAGGTCAGCCATTTGCACTGCTGCCGCAAAAGATGCGCCAGCAAGTCATGCCATTGTTCCGCGACCGGTTACAGTACCGTCCTCACTGGTTCATTTCTGGAAAAGGGTCAATTCTAGACAATATATTTTTGAGTACCCCGCCCTCGAACCTCTTTATCTGACACACACACACACACACACCCCTCCTTCAATGCCTACCGCCCCTCTCCCCACTCCGTCATGCTTCCGTAGACAGTGCTCCTGATCGGTGGTGCGAACATGCCGAGCTCCATGCGCGCTCAAATTGATCGCACATAACAAAAAGCTTGCAAAATGAAAAGAAGAGCGTATCAGACGGGAAAAGCATTACAGCTCCTGCGGCGCGGCATATCTCCAAGGGAAGTGTCCACCCGAAGTGGTGTCAGTCGCACGACAGTTGTTGTCGGTGAAATGGGGGAGGCGGTTCTGGGGAGCGTGCCGTTCGTGGTGAGGGTTGGCCGAGTGTCGTCCCCCCTTCCCCGCAGCGCCCGTCACCCTCTCTCTTTTATTTCTACGAAATTCCTTCCAGAAGCGTCCACGCGTCCGGCCCGGATTCCGCCGGGCCGTCCGCGTGCGCTTCTCTAAAATTCAAATAAAATCTCCCTCTACCGTAAAATGCAAATATTTCCCTAAAAATATCTCACATGACCCCCTCGTCAGGGCAGACCACGGGGCTGCCGCTGCACGTAAATATACTGGCCCCGCTTCCTCGCGTTACCGCTCTGGCCCCCCCGGCCACCGTCTCTCCACCTTCCACCGAACCTAGCTCCCTTCTATTTCATCCGCTCCACCGCCATCTTGCGCCGACTACGCTCGCATCGTTTCTTTCTCGCGCCGCCCCCGGCACTTCAGCCTCAACTTCGGGCGGTGTGGTCTCTGCGTCGCCCGAACTTGTGGTTTTTACGTCTAGCGTCACCGTTGCCTCGGGTCGCGTCGTCTCCGCGTCTCCCGGGCCTCCGGCCGTTAATCGTCCGACGCCGTCTGAGTCTCAGGCCGCGTGGTCTCCGCGTCGCCTGAGCCTCCGTTTCTCGTTGTTCCCGTTTCGGGACTTCGTTGAAACGCGCCGCGTTTTGAGCCACGCACGAGAGGTCTGTGGTCCTTCGGGCGGTACTCTCTGTGCGACATGCCTCGGACCAAGCAGACGGCGAGGGCTTCCACTGGCGAGAAAGTCCAACATCTTGCGCTGGGTAGCAAGGCGGCCTGCGTTCGTCTCGCGTCGCCTTTGCCTCGGGCCGCGTGGTTTCCGCGTCGTCTGAACATTCGGCCGCGTTCGTTACGTCGCGGAGAAATTAGCAACCACTGTTTTACGATAACCGGCGAACTGTAACCCTGAGTGGATTACGTCATTTCTCGTGGACCAAGACGACTTACCATCCTCAACGGCTACTCCCAGGCCTGACTTTCAGTGAAATCTTTCCAGAACCAGATCGAGAAACAAGTTGGGCATGCTTTCATCGCCCTTTGGCTCGACAAACTCGTCATTTACGTGACGGTCGCATCAACTGATCAATCCTACGACCTGTGGCTCTCATGCAAGGCTGCATGCGGTCAGAGATTCACCAACTCACGCATGAATTATGCACTAATCCGTTTGAACCATACGCTGCCGTAGTTCCAGTGTCTCTCAGCCGCCTATACACCGACGCACCCTGCATGTAGACCTCTTCTGTAGTCGTTCCGACCATTCCGCCGCCTTCACAGCTCACAATGCCAGCCCTTGCGTCACAGTAACTCCTATAGCATCGACGTTCCTTGATCGAACGGCCTCCTCTTTCCTCATTCCGCTAGAATGCACAATGCCCCCTCTCCATCGGACAACCTTGACTCCCGTTGATGTCTCATTTCGACTCTTTCCCTAACCCTCAACAACTCTTCTCACGGACTTTAAAACGCACAGAGAGTCCAATCCCAGCGAAGTTTCTCAACCACATCGTCTCTGTCCTCCTACTCCTCGTAGTCATCCCCGCACCAGTCCATGGGGCAATTCCCCCATGCATCACATTTACATAAGATGTGCGGGTTTCTGAATAAAGGGGATTAAACGCCTTGCGTGGATATCCCGTCGACTGTAGTGCAAACCCGGCGACACGAGTGTGTACCGCGAGTGTTTTGCCCGTACTACCCTGCAGGGGCCGTAGTACTTCAATTCTCCTAAAGGCCACTTCCGTAGCCCTCCTAAGGCTGTTCCTCGGGCAGCCAGAACCTGGTCGCCTACGTCAAATTGGCGTTGTGAGATAACTGCCATCTTCTTGCTCGTCCTGTCCAGTTGCTTAGCAGTCCTCGTCGCTCGGAGCGCGAGGGTCGCTAACAGTTCCAAGTTGCGCCCCTCAACGCCCCCCCATCGGATTTGGTTCGACTCGGCTTGGGGTTGCGAGGGCGGCTTAACTCCATACATCAACTCGAACGGGGAAAACCCGTCGGACAGTCGGCGCCGACGGTACCCGTAGAGAATCTGTTTCAACGCCGATTCCCATTTAGAGGTAGCGGCGCCCTGATCTAATAGCGTCTTCCGAATTGAACGCTTGATGGTCCCAACCATACGCTCCGCTTTTCCGTTGGACATGGGAGCATAGGCGAGGACCGGTTTCCATGAAATTCCCTGTTGTGCCATGAAGTTCTTCAACGCTGTCGCTGAAACATGTTGTGTTATCTGAGACTATAGTCCGAGGTGGACCAAACGAATGGATGATCTCCTCCTTCACGAACTTGACAACTTCCGCAGACGTAGCGGTCTCGGTTGCCCAAGCCAGGGGCCAACCAGTCAGATGTTCGACCGCTATCAGGATGTAACGTTTTCCGTTCTTCGTCTTGGGAAGGGGTCCCGCAAAGTCTATCGAGAATGTCTCAAAGAGCTGAGAGACTGGTATCACCGCCGTGCTCTTGTACGTCGGGATGGGCGCAGCCTTTTGGCAGCCTTCACATCCACGAACGTGAACTCCCGGCCACCAGTACCTGTCACGGACGAACTGCTTCGTAGCTGTAGCGTCCCAGTGGCCAATGTCGTCATGCAGCGACCGCAATAGCTGCAGTCAAGTCCCCCGATTGGGGATTGTTCTGATCCAATTCTTCGTCCTGCGAAACAGCCTTCCGTTCCAGGCGAAGAACCGCCAGGAGTTCTTCTTGATTCTGCGCCTCTGCGCAGCATCTTGCTCGACCATCTCTTCTCCTTCGAGATAACGGTACGTGTCCCGCACATGAGGTTCCATGTCTTCCAGTATATCTCCTTTCGCAAAAGCGGCAGCACATATCAGGTCCCCCTCATCATCCTCGCGCCTGCCATCGTCTTTTCGTAGACGCGAGAGAAAGTCAGCGGCACAATTCTTTGAGCCGGGGCGGTACAATATCTCGAATTCGTACTCCGCCAGGAAATCCAACCAACGGGCGAGTCTACCGTGTATGTCCTTCTCTTTGAACGCATACTGAAGCGCTTGGTGATCCGTAATCAACTTGTACTTTTGCGTTGAGAGCAAATACACCCGAAATTTCTTTAGCGCGAAGATCACCGCTAACGCTTCTCTCTCACAGGTGGGGTACTTCGTCTCAGTCTCCGTCATCGTCTTGCTGGCGTATTGTATCGGGTGAAACTTCTTGTCTTCCTTCTTCTGAGCCAGAACTGCTGCCACTGCCATGTTGGATGCATCTGTCTCGACCACGAAGGGTTCGTCAAACTTCGGGAGCGCCAAAAGCGGAGGAGACGTCACCCTCTTCTTCAACTCCTGGAAGGCGGTCCGCATCCCTTCCGTAAATTCAAATTCGACTTTGGTAGAAGTAGCAGCATGCAACGATGCAGAGACTTCTGCGAACTTAGGGATAAATCGGCGGTAATACCCCGCTAGTCCAAGGAAGCTTCGTAACTCCGTCTTGGTGCGCGGCTCGGGGGTGTCCCAAATGATCGATGTCTTCTCTGGATCCACCTCGATCCCTTTCTTTCCGATGACGTGCCCCAATAGCCTGGTCTGTGATTGCGCGAAGGAACACTTCGCGAGCTTCAACTTCAATCCACTGCGAGCAATCAGCTCGAACACTTCAATCAAGTGGTCAACATGGACGTCCAAGAACTTCGAAAAGATGACCACGTCATCAAGGTATACTCGGACGAATGGCAGGTCTCTGAATACGCCATCCATCATCCTTTGAAATGTTGAAGGAGCGTTCATGAGCCCGAATGGCATCACTTCAAATTGAAACGTCCCATACCGACAGACAAACGTCGTCTGTTCTTTGCACCATGAAGCCATCCGCACTTGCCAATAACCCGAGAACAAGTCCAGGGTAGTGAATACTTGGCTTCCTTCAAGGTCGTCGAATATCTCTTCCATTTTAGGCAACGGCCACTTGTCGGCCTTCATCACGCGGTTAAGCGCGCGGTAGTCAACACAGAAGCGAGGTTTCCCGTCTTTCTTCGTTGCGATGACGACCGGAAACGACCAAGGAGCTACAGAGGGGGTAATGATCCCTGCCTTCTGCATCTTCTCGATCTCCTCACGCACTACCGCGTTGTGTCTCGGAGGGAGCCTCCGAACGGCATGCGAAATGGGCCTGTCGTCATTTAACTCAAACGAATGTGACACAGGGACATCTGCCGGCCTGAGGTCATCCAAAGACCATGCAGCTATTCCCATACTCTTGATAGAACACATTATGCGGTCGGCGTGCTTTCTGCTGATATGGCTCAGCTTAGACATGAGTGTAGCATAAACACCCCCAGACGACTGGAGGTGTATGCGCAGTTCGA